AGCTCTGTAAAAAGACCAAGACCATGCAATCATATTATTTTAGAACAAGCAACAGACATTGCACGATATTTTGCTTTCGTGGATGATTTTGATATTGAATCTTGTTTTTTACATTTTCATGAAATGGGAGCATTTCCTAGGAGTATACACTAGCCAATAGTAGATTTTCTTGTCTCTAGACATCCAACCCAATCAACATCACTATATGCGTGGAGTTGGAGAGATGAATCAACAAGAAAAACTAAACCACGTTGTGAGGTGCCAACAAGATATTTAATGATTCGTTGCACAGCTAAAAAATGGAAGTGTTGCAGATATTACATGAAATTACTAACAATATGCATAACAAATGAAATATCTAGGTGAGTGATAGTTATATAGATGAGACTAACAACAAACTTTCAATATAAAGTGGGATCATCAAGAAGTTCTCCTTAGTCTTGTTTATATTTAACATTAATTCCCATCGAAGTGTCAACAAGGGTTGCATTTATGAGTCTAGCTAAGTGCACCAAATCTTGAATAGACTTTTGCTAATTTAGAAAAATTCCTTCAAGATGATAATGCACTTTTAAGCCCAAGAAAAAGTGCCCAATTCTTTCATGTGAAAAGTTTAGTGTAACATGTGTTTGATTCTAAAAATAGCCTCTTGATCAGAATTAGTCACCACAATATCATCCACATAAATAAGAAGCACCACAATGCCTTTAGGAGTCCTTCAGAGGACAAGTGACGAATCATACTGATTTTGATTGAATGAAAAACCAAGTAGTGTGAAGCAAAATTTTTCAAACCATACTCTTAGGACCTCTTTCAATCCATATGGAAAGTGTTTTAGTTTACAAACAGTAATAAAGGAAGTGTGAGCATACCATTAGGAAGTTTAATGCAAACTTCCTCTTTGAGATCACTGTGGAGGAACACATTTTTTACATCCATTTGATGTAACGAACAAGATTGAGATGCAACAAGAGCAAGAATAATGTGCATAGTGGTCATCTTAGCAACTATAGGGCAAAAGTTTCATTGTAGTCTAAATGATATTTTTGTTTATTTCCAAGCACAACTAGTTGAACTTTATAACGATATATGGACCCATCTAAGCACAGCTTTATAGAGAACACAAACTTGCTTTCCAAAGGTTTAAAGATTGTGTGGCATGGCACCATATCCCATGTTTGATTCTCTTCTAAGACAAGGAGCTCAACTTCAATAGCTTTTTGCCAACATTCATTCCCCATGGCCTATTTATAAGAAGGAACAAAATAGATGATAATTTTGTTATCAAGGAATTGATATACCTTTCTAGGGTTTATGAACACATGAACTATATCGTAGAGGAGTTGGCTCAAGTTCTTGTATTGGATCAACAACCAAGGAATTATCTTGAAGGGCTCCATGAGATTGGATTGGTTGAGTTTGAGTGAAAAATAGCAAAACAAAAATTGGAGAAGAAAGACAATCATGAAGTTTTGCAAAAAAAAAAAAAAAAT